GGTCTCCCCTTTAAATTTTGTTGTTTTTATTACACTTGTGACAAACCCCCCATTTTGATATTTGACATTTTTGTGTCACCCCCTTTAATTTACTATGTTTTTACTCGTTAATGTCTTTAGCTATGACTAATTAGAACTAAATTTATTTTCTATTAATTCTCAAAACCACTCCCTTGGGACACGACCCCAACCCCTGGTTGGGTTACTATATATCGACGATCGTAGACACTCGTACCGTAGGTTAGTGTCGTTGGTCACGATAAGCATCACCTACCACAGAGAAATCATACATAAATACCTCAATAGTGTCCTCCACCATATCTGAAAAAATATGGACACCATGCAACACAGGAAGGTCGCTGGAGCATTACACAACCCGAATGGCATCCATTTTAAGTCGAAAGTCCCATAAGGATAAGTGAAGGTGGTCTTTTCTTGGTCTTCTGTAGCAATGGAGATCTGATTGTAGTCCGAATAACCATCAAGAAAATAATACCAACCCTTACCAGCAAGGCGGTCGAACATCTGATCAATGAACGGCATAGGGAAGTGGTCCTTTTCTGTCCAAGCATTTAATTTCCGGTAGTCAATGCATACTCTCCATCCAGTCACTAGATGCATCGGCACAAGCTCATTTTTCATATTAGGAACCACAGTAATTCCACCTTTCTTAGGAACACACTGAACAAGACAAACCCATCTACTATCTGCAATGGGATATATGACTCCAACATCTAACCATTTGATGATTTTCTTTTTCACTACCTCTTGCATAGGAGGATTTAGTCTCCTTTGGTGCTCGATAATAGGCTTGTGGTCCGAAATGAGTTGGATTTTATGAGAACAAATGTCAGGAGGAATCCCAATAATGTCTGCATTCATCCAACCAATAGCCCACTTGAACCTCTTCAACACAGAAACCAATGCCTCAACTTGCACCTCACTTAAATCGTTTGCAATGATGACCAGTAAAGTACCATCTCTCCCCAAGAGTGCATACCTCAAATGCGATGGTAGATCCCTGAGCTCAAATTTTGGAGCCTCTTCAACAAACGGTTTTACGGGTGGAGAGTCACGATTATTCATATCTAACTCTAATTTCTTCGATTTGGAACAGAATTCGAACCTATCAAGTGCGGAAACCAATTCATCATAGTCTTCAATACCATCACCCTCAAAATTCATCATTACTGTTGCAAGTGCATTAACACCCAACCTCTTTTCAATAGACACATCAGAACCTCGCTCCACAGTATGATTCACCATTGATACTGACTTGAGATCGCTTTCCTGCTTCATAGACCTATAGACATTGAAAGTTACCTCTTTATTATTCAATCGAAACTTCATCTTCCCTCTCTCCATATCGACCAAGGCACACCCAGTAGCAAGGAATGGTCTCCCCAGGATGATGGGAACCTCAAAATCAACCTCACAGTCAAGTATCACAAAATCCGCTGGAAAAATAAACGACTCCACTTTCACAAATACATCTTGGAGAACACCAATGGGCTTCTTCACAATTCGATCGGCCATTAGTAATCGCATCGCAGTCGGTTTTGGAGCCCCTAAACCCAACTTCTTGTAAATAGACAATGGCATCAGATTAATACTAGCACCCAAATCTCACAACCCCTTAGCAAAATGCAACAACCCAATGGTACAAGGAATAGTGAAAGCACAAGGATCCTCTTTCTTCTGCACAAGCAATCTAGTAGCAATAGCACTGCAATGTTGCAACCTATCATCATCTTCAAAACTAACGGCACTCTTCTTAGTCACCAAATCTTTCATAAATTTCGCATACCCAGGCATTTGCTCCAAAGCTTCTATCAACGGAATATTGATGGAAAGCTGCTTCAACATAGTAATAAACCTGCGGTATTTTCCTTCTTCATTCTTGTTTACCAACCTATGTGGGAATGGAGGTAGAGGTCTAAGCATGGGAACAACTTTTTGGGTTATCTCTGATTCCTTCTCTATAGCATTCTTGGACTCTAGTAACCTCAATCTCATCATCATATTTTTCAACCACAATTTCAACCTCAGATGACATAGGTGGATCAATGGTCTGTTTACCCCCTCAAGTAGTGACTGCCATACAATGTCCATCATTCTTCAGATTCTGGATGGTATTGCTAGAAAGTGTGCCAGGCTGTATGCATGTTCTTTAGGAAATCGATGAAAATTATTTAAGTTACTTTGAGAGGAAAGCATCCATATTGTTGTTTTTGTGAAAGGATTTCTCACATACACATGACAGCATGAGTGTAAAAAGATTTTCTCACATAAAATATTCTTAGAGTTGTAAGGTTTTCTCAATTAAAATTTGAATCAAGATTTGGGAGCTATTCTAATTAAATCTAGCTTAGATTGGCTACTTGATATGTCTTCCATGGATGAAAAGGTAATTGGCGATTACCCATGCCTCTGAATGATAAGACAAGTTAAGATAATGACTATTTTGTAGGATTTACGCTTAACACAGAGAGGATATTGAGATAGAAGCTCTCTTGTAACTTAAGGCTGTGTTTCTAATAGAATTCTCCTTATCCCATACATATGTGCCCCCATAGGATGATTGTATTAGATAGACATTAGCTAGTGGATCCTTATAAGCTAGATGTTCATGGTCTTACCTTGGCAAGTAGGACACCCTTTTTCGTCGTAGGGTAGACACAAGATTCCATGTTATACCTCACATGGTTTCTATGCCAGTTAAAGGTTAATCTCCCATAATATTAACTAAGGTTACTTCTAGAAGTATATCACGAATGTTTTAAAGATTTTAGCTCGCATTTACCATGTTTTATGATTTATGTTTTCTAACCCTTTTACCTCGGATTTAGCTTGGTCATTGCATGTCATGAAAAGTCCTTTTAGCATGATTTTATATCTTTTATGCATTGCTTTCATTCTTGGTACATTCTTTGTACTAACACATACTCTTTCCTACATTCTTTAAAAATGTAAGGTCTGACGCTCTGATATCGCATCCCCATTGCCAGAAATCACTTAAGCTATTTTGGGAGGTGGTGAGTCGTCATGTTCTAAGGACCGAACCTTTTATTTCTTATTGTCTTTACTTTTCAGATATTATATGTGATGCATGTGTTACGTCCCAGTCACTCTTGTTGTAATAGATGGCTTTGAGACTATTTAGACTTCCACATCATTTTTGACAAACTCTCGATGATATAAAATGCCTTTGAAACTCTTAAACTCTATTATTATGTATGATCTATGCTAAGTGGATTTTATATGGCCTCTCATGATCTTATACGTCATGTCACGTCTAGGGTCTACTTTGGGTCATGACAAACATGGTATTCAGAGCACAAGGTTTAGAAAGATCCTACAATGTCTCATAAGCCATGTCGAGTAGAGTCTAGCTCATGACTGTGAAGCGTGCCACATTTATGAATAAGAAGTTATAATATCATTAGGAAACTCCAATTCTGTCATTACTCTAAGTCGTGCGATAAAGTGTAACCCTATATGTACTTTCTCCTAATCTTGATTCGATGATTTTCAGGATATGGCCCTTCGAAGAGCTTTCATTATGAGGATTGCAAATGTGAATATGGAACAAGAAGCTCCTCAAGTTCTGATCGTCTTTTTGGGTGAGCAAGTGACTATGCAAATTTTAGGGCTTCTTTTCAAGTGTTGGCACAATCCATGATGGCTCAAGACAATAGGGAGGTTATGGTCCCCATGAACTCGAATATGGGTATGGCGACAACTAGAGTGACATACTCCACTAGAATAAATTCTCTAAAGTTTCATGGTTCTGACGTTGAGGAAGATTCTCAAGAATTTATTGACGAAGTGTATAAAGTGTTGCTGATCATGGGAGTGACGCCGGTGGAAAAGGTGGAATTGGTCTCATATCTACTCAAGGGTGTTGCTTAATTTTAATTCAACCAATGGAAGAAAGAGAGGGTGGCTAATGCGGGTCATCCTGATTGGGAAAAGCTTAAGGTTGCTTTCCTTGATAGGTTCTTTTCCATTGATATGAGGGAGGCAAAGGTACTTGAATTCAGCAACCTTCGTCAACGAAACATGAGCGTGAAGTAATATATTTTGAAGTTCACACAATTGTCTGAGTATACTCCTACTATGATTGCCGACTCTTGGGCAAGGATGAGTAAGTTTGTTTCGGGCATGTCGGGGATGGTGGTTAAGGAATGTCATACTGCCATTCTTATTAATGATATGAACATTTCTCATCTTATGGTTCATTCTCAACAAATATAAGAGGAGAAACTTAGGGGGAGATCTAGGAAGACAAAGAATGAAAGGACCGGTGATGGTAACTTCTAACTTTCAAGATTGGATGGACATGCTCGTTAAGTTTTGACAAAGGTTTTCCGGTAAGGGTTCCTCCAATGATCCTCCTAAGTTCAACAAATATAGGGTGTCTAACCCTAAGACTCAAGGAGGGAATGGTGATAGATTTCATTGTCTTCTTGTGCTAAGTGTTGAAGGAAGCATGACGGTATGTGCTTAGCCGTCACGAATTGTTGCTTCAGTTGTTGTAAGAGTTATCATAAAATAAGCGATTTTCCATCGCTAAGGGATAAAAGAAGAGAGGGTAAGCAAGCTCCGCCTAGTGGTTCAAGTTTAGTGCTCCTAAGTAAAATAGGTTTTATGCACTCTAGACTCCTCATGAGCAAGAGAGTTCTCCCGTTGTAGTTACCGGTATGTTGAAAGTCTTTCATATTTATGTTTATGCTTTGCTTGATCCTGGTGCTACCTTGTTGTTTGTGACGCCATATGTGGCCATGAGATTTGATATTCTTCTGATGTATTGTTAGATCCCTTTTATGTCTCTACTTCCATTGGTGAATCTATTATGGCTAAGAAAGTTTATAGAAAGTGTCATGTCTCCTTATCTCATAGAGTAACTCATGTTGATCTTATAGAGATAGATATGTTAGATTTTGATGTTATCCTTGGTATCGATTGACTACATTCATGTTATGCTTTTCTTGATTGTAGAACCTGAGTTGAGAAATTCCACTTTCTAGATGAACCCATTCTAGAGTGGGAAGAGGGAAATTATATGCCTAAGGGTCAGTTTGTTTCTTGTCTTAAGGCCAGAAAAATGATTTCTAATGGTTGCATACACCATCTTGTTAGGACTAGGGATATGGATTTTGAAGTCCCTACTCTTGAGTTAGTCCCACCGTTAATGAGTTCCTAGGAGTGTTTCCCGATGATCTACCAGGTGTTCCTCCCGAAAGGAAAATAGGTTTCGCTATTAACCTATCCCGGATATGCAACCTATCTCTATTCCTTCTAATTGTATGGATCCAGCAGAACGCAAGGACTTAAAGGATCAATTGAAGGATTTGTTGGATAAGAGTTTCATTCGATCGAGTATCTCTCCATAGGGTGCTCCAGTTTTATTTATTCAAAAGAAATATGGTTCGCTTCGTATGTGTATTGACTACTGGAAATTGAACAAAGTTACTATTAAGAACAAATATCCTCTCTGAAGGATAGATGATTTGTTTGATAAACTACAAGGAGCAAGTTACTTCTCCAAGATTGACCTCCGCTTCGGTTATCACCAATTGAGGGTGAACGAGAATGACATTCCAAAAATGGCTTTTCTAAATCGATATGGTCATTATATGTTTTTGGTAATGTTGTTTCGTTTGACCAATGCTCCTGCCAAATTTACGGATTTTATGAATATATAAAAAAAACCCAAATTGCCAACAGATTTTCCGAACAACTTAAGTTGGTTAGTATTTTACTAACAAATTACCAACATATTTCTAAAGGAATTATATTTGAAATCTTAACAACGAAATTCTAACAGATTACCAACCAAAATATTACCAACTAAGTATTTTAGTTGGTAAATACAACGGGAAAAAATGGCGCCAAATTTAGCAACTTTCTATCAATGGATTACCAACTGAAATATTACTAACGCACATCTTTTGTTGGTAATATTACCAACGAAGTAAAAATTTGGTTATATAATTTATCAACAGATTACCAATGAATTACTAACAAACCATTTACCAACGACAATATTTTGTTGCTAAATTACCAACCAAATATAAATGTGTTGGTAAATTAGTAATGAAATGTAATTTGTTGGTAAACTTGCCAACAAATATCTAATCAATTGAAAATTTTGCCAACGAATAAAATTGTAGTTTGTAAATTACTAACATAATTAAAATAGTTGGTAATATACCAACCGATCATTAATCCATTGGTAATATTTACCAATATATTAAGTTTTAGTTGGTAATATTACACATGAATGTTTAGTAGTAACTATTATCAACTGTGATAAAATTTATTGGTAAATTATTAAATTACTAACAGATACTTGAATAGTTGGTAAATTTACCAATTGAGAAGTTAAATTGTTTGGTAAAATCATCATCTAGTGTTGAAACAAAAGTAAATTTAATGATGTAATACTTAATTAATATTTTCTCTCTAATTTAAGCCAACGTGATATTTTAAGTTTTGGCAAAAATTTGACTTTGGCCAATATTTTTGGTAAACGTGCTCAGATAAGAATTATGTCAGCACAGTTAGCTCCAGAAGGTCATTTTTGGCCCAGTTGGATGGTTGGGTGGGGTTTTGAGGCTTTTATATTCAGCTTTTGCCGCTAGGCGTTTTTATCTTTTAAGGTTTAGCCAAAATTTGACTTTGGTCAATATTTTCGGTAAATATCCTCGAATTAGAATTTTTTCACTGTGATTAGCTTTGGAACATCATTTTTTATCTAATAGGAAGGTTGGTTCGGGTTTTGAGGCTTCTGTTTTCAGTTTGTGTCGTTACGTGTTTTAAATCTTATGTTTTGGCCAAAATTCAACTTTGGTCTATATTTTTGGTAAATGTGCTCGAATGAGAATTTCGTTAGCACGGTTTACTCCGATAGATCATTTTCCATCTGGTAGGATAGTTGGTTCGGGTTTTGAGGCTTTAATTTAAGTTTGTGCCGTTAGGCGTTTTAACTTTTATGTTTTGACCAAAATTTGACTTTTGTCAATATTTTTAATAAATGTGCTCATATTAGAATTCTCTCAGTGCGGTAAGATTTGGAAGGTGTAATAGGATGGTTGGTTCGGGTTTTGAGGCTTTCATTTTCAGTTTGTGCCGTTATGCGTTTTAACTTTTAACTTTTGGCCAAATTTTTAATTTGGTTAATATTTTTGGTAAACATGCTCTAATTAGAATTTTGTCACCATTGTTAGCTCCAGAAGGTCATTTTTGGTCTAATAGGCTGGATGGTTTGGGTTTTGAGGCTTTCACTTTCAATTTGTGTTTTTAGACGTTTTAACTTTTATGTTTTTGAAAAAAATTGAATTTGGTCAATATTTTTGGTAAATGTGCTAAGATGAGAATTATTTCAGCGCGGTTAGCTCTAGAAGGTTATTTTTTTATCTATAAGGATGGTTGGTTCGGGTTTTGATGCTTTCATTTTCAGTTTGTGCCGTTAGATGTTTTAACTTTTAAGTTTTCGACAAAATTTATCATTGGTCCATATATTTAGTAAATGTGTTCAGATGATAATTCTGTCAGCATGGTTGGCTCTGGAAAGTCATTTTTTGTCTAATAAGATGGTTGGTTTGGATTTTGAGGGTTTCATTTTCAGTTTGTGCCGTTAGGCATTCTAACCTTTAAGTTTTGGCAAAAATTCAAATTTGGTCAATATTTTATTAAACTTGCTTAGATTAGAATTTTATCAGCACACTTAAATCTAGAAGATCATCTTTGGTCTAGTAGGATGGTTTATTCAAGTTTTGAGGCTTTCATTTTCAGTTTGTGTTGTAAGTCGTTTAAACTTTTAGTTTTGGCCATAATCTGAATATCATCAATATTTTGATAAACATGCTCAAATTAGAATTTCGTATGCACGGTTAGCTCCAGAAGATCACTTTTTATCTAGTAGGATGGTTGGTTAAGGTTTTGAGGCTTTCATTTTCATTTTGTGCCGTTATGCGTTTCAACTTTTAAGTTTTGACCAAAATTTGACTTTTGTAAATATTTTTAATAAATGTGCTCAGATTTAAAAAAATTCAATGTGGTTAGCTCTAGAAGGTCATTTTTGGTCTAATAGGATAGTTGGTTCGTATTTTGAGTCTTTCCTTTTTAATTTGTGCCGTTAGGCATTTAAACTTTTAAGTTTTGGCCAAAATTTGACTTTGGTCAATATTATTGGTAAACGTGCCCGGATGAGAATTCTGTCACCGCGTTTAGCTCTGGAAGGTTATTTTTTATCTAATAGGTTAGTTGGCTAGGGTTTTGAGGCTTTTAATTTTAGTTTGTGCCGTTAGCCGTTTTAACTTTTATATTTTGGCCAAAATTTGAATTTGATCAATATTTTTGGTAAACATGCTTAGATAGAATTTTGTCAGCACGACTAGCTCCCGAAGGTCATTTTTGTTCTATTAGGATGGTTGGTTCGTGTTGTGAGGCTTTCATTTTCAATTTGTGCCGTTAGGAGTTTTAATTTTTAAGTTTTGGCCAAAACTTGAATTTGGTGAATTTTTTTGTAAACGTGCTCAAATTAGAATTTCGTCAGCTCGGTTAGGTCCAGAAGATCCTTTTTCATCTAATAGGATGGTGAGTTCGGGTTTCGTGGCTTTCATTTCAGTTTGTGTCATTATGTGTTTTAACTTTTAAGTTTTGACCAAAATATGACTTTGATCAATTTATAATGTTTATTAATTTTTTACATTTGGCCATAATATGAATTTAGTCAATAGTGTTTGGTAAATGTGCTAAGATGAGAATTTTGTTAGTGCGGTTAGCTCTGGAAGATTATTTTTCATCTATTAGGATGGTTTCGGGTTTGGAGGCTTTCGTTTTCAGTTTGTGCCGTTAGACGTTTTAATTTTTAAGTTTTGGCAAAAATTTAACATTGGTCAATATATTTAGTAAATGTGTTCGGATGATAATTCTGTCAGCACGGTTGGCTCCGAAAGGTCAATTTTTGTCTAGTATGAAGATTTGTTCGGGTTTTGAGGCTTTTATTTTTAGTTTGTGTTGTTAGGCGTTTTTTAACTTTTATGTTTTGGCCAAACAATTTGAATTTAATCAATGATTTTGTTAAACATGATTAGATTAGAATTTTGTCAGCACGGATAGCTCCAAAAGGTCATTTTTCGTCAATTAGGATGGTTGGTTCGGGTTTTGAGGCTTTCATTTTCAGTTTGTGCTGTTAGGCATTTTAACATTAAAGTTTTGGCCAAAACTTTAATTTGGTCAATTTTTTGGGTAAAAGTGCTCAAATTAGAATTTTCGTCGGCTCAGTTAGCTCTAGAAGATCCTTTTTCATCTAATAGGATGGTGGGTTCGAATTTCGTGGCTTTCATTTTTCAATTTGTGTCATTAGGCGTTTTAACTTTTAAGTTTTGACCAAAATTTGACTTCGATCAATTTATAATGTTTATTAATTTTTTAATTTAACAGACCAACACCCAAAAAAAATATTACCTTTTATCACTCCTTATTAAATATCACTCCTAATTAAATATAAGTATTTTCTAAAGATACAATCAGATCTATTATATGCCTTTTTGTAAAATTGTTCATCTATATAATATAATAAATAAAATATAAAAGATAGTGTTTTTACATTAAAGCATTTAATGCCTCCTTCCTAGGCAAGGGCAATTCTTTACTTTAATGTAAGGCTGGCAAACGGACAGGACCGGATCAACAGGACCAGTTTTATCGGAACCGGTCCTCGTTATCGGATTTCCTTACCGGAACCGGTTTTACCGGAAATTTCCAATGGTTCCGTCCTGTCCCTTAGTTACCGGATTGGAACCGGTTTGGACCGGACCGAAACCGGTTCTTACCGGATCATTGTGTACCGGTAATTTTATTTTATTTTTTTATTAACTTTAATTATTATATAATATTATATTATTAATTAATAAAATTATATTATTAAAAAACTTCAATTTA